CTTGCCTAGAAATACCCGTGTTGAGCAGTCATGTGATCACGTTAGAAATGACATGGCTGTTAGGTAAGGTCAGTCTAGTCCTATCCCCAGTCTCCGAGGTATGTTAATGCCCAGGTCAGACACAGTGATTAATTTAAATTCGATTATTTTCATCAACTAGTAGATTTGACCCTGCAAATGTGTTAATCATCCATGCTTTGGATACAGTTTTTGTGTCAAGATGTATCTTTTGACGATTTTTTTGAGACCCGTAAATCATTTAAAGTAGAAATCACAGGCATTCAACATCAATTCCAGCATGGAAATGGAGGTTTACTTGATGTCCTTGACGCATTTAATCCCGACAAAAGTGTGGAACGCTAAAGTCAGCACATAAGCCATTGGGATTTGTTGGGTAAGTATCTCCAGGTATTTTTTAAGCGCGATGTCACCTTAGGCATTCAATATCTAATTTAACGAAAAAGGCGATCATATCTACTTCCGTTGTTACTTCAAATTCACTGGAAGAGAACAGTTTGCCTTAATGTTTTCCTTGTTTACAGCGCCTGTCCAATAAATGATATCCTCTTACATTATGCATTTTAATCAGTAGATAAATAAACGACACGATTGTTGCAGGTTTCCGCTTCGCGTAGACCAAAACTAGTTACTTGTCGCAGCGGTAAATGCTGATTGGAACTTATCTACTGCTGCATTTGAAATATTGGAACCTTGGCAAATGGAAAACATGGGAAGCCCCTCCATTACACCCTTAAACCTAGCAGCTGTTAATTGAGGGCTGTCCAATCCCTCCCCCGCCAGATCGTGTTGTTTTATTTGACACCGAAACATGGGAAATAAAACCTAGCATTTCAACCACTCAATGGAAGAGAATTTCAATTACGTGAGACTTAATGGTTTGAGTCGCTGCAAGCAATCTAAATGTCGCTGGTGTGGATTTTATTAAACAGTAAAGGGATTTAATTGCTTACAGCTAACTAATATTTAAAAATTTCAAAGTATATTGCCATCACTAACACGTGTATCTGATTAACACGGATTTCCGTTGGAATCCCACTCATATACTCCTATGTGATTAAAAAATAAAGTTTAGCCCCCCGATCCCTTTATTTAAAGTTTGCATAAAGCACATAATGACAAATTTATCACAAAGTATGGCGTTTTTTAACGAGGTTGTTAAATATTTCCCTTTTTGTTACAGTTGTTTAAAAATAATGTTATAGTACAGTCAAAATAGTTAAATTAACTTTATTGCCATCAGACTTTTTGATTTCCTGTTTGAAACACGAAGCAAAAGTTTATCTTGCCAAAGGAAAGACATGGCCATCTCTAAAACTTATAACTAACCAATTGAAAAATGAGTCCTAATTTTCCACTCCTCAGACAAATTTTACATTGTAGCATCCATCTCTCATTGTCACTTGTAGTCGTATGCGCCATTTGATACCCCTATTCGTCACAATCGAGTTGACTACATGATTTTAACCGTTCGAATTAACAACCTCGCTCCACTTCATTCCTTCTCTCCTCTCGCTTAAACTTCCAAATTTTCAGTCGCAGAGCAGATTTCCAGAATGCTAGTTGTAAAGTGATTCAAGCACCACAATCTGCTAAACTCTCAGCCCAGAGAGGGGGCACTTTTGACCAAAGAACAATGCATTAGCCTCTTCTTCGTCTGTTCTGATAGGATGCATGCAGTGCTGATGCCTACCTTTTTTCCATGACTTGGTAAAAAAGATGAAGGCCATGCTATCTTTCAACCTGTTGATTGCATAGATTTTCCGGGACATTTACAACTACTCACCAACTGCACAAGTCAGTGATAAAATCAGAAAATGCCATCGTTACTGCTAAACACACAAGAGATCCAGTCACCTGCGGTGCCTTTTGGTTGATTTAGAGTCTCCATTTCAAGTGATCCTAATTTTTTTTGATCTTAGATCGCACCAGGTTTAATCCAATAAATTAGACTAGTTGATAAAGTTTCTGCCATGACGCTTGATGTTCCAGAGTCGGGAAATCGTTTATGCAGCAGACAGGAGAAAATTATTAAAATTGCTATTGCTAAGGGAATTCCACCCCATTTGACTTATCTCTCCTCACATTTATGATGACTGCAAGGGATTCTGAGGTGGCTATCGGATCACTCTTGATGGATCGCGAAGGCTGCACGAGACTGATTATGCAGACAGAGCAGTCTGGATTGTCTCCTTCCTCTGGAATCGTGATCCTTCTAATAGTACGACCCATACCACCTTCATTAGAATTTACAGTAATGGTGAAAGTACTTGTTCCACCAAACCATATGCTCAGTGGATATCTGCTCATTGAAATATAAGTGGTATCTTTAACGTGTGGTGATTCCAACTGTAGTGTGCACTCACAATACGACACGCCATCTATATTAAAGAATGGCAAAAGGTGAAAAGTGTACAGCTCTGTGACCTTTATCCGCACTTTGTTCCGTCTGATAGCGAATGGCTTTAAAGACATTTTAAAGGGAAGTAGCTGAAGGCTGTGGAAAGAGTAGCTGGCAGAGACACTTGTTGCCGAGATTCACGAAGTTTGGAATATTAAACTTCCAGTATGCCATCTTAAGTGATATAGAAGTCAGATGGATAAAGTGTGATAAAAGCAAAATAACCAAATGGCAAAATGCATAAAAGTTTAAATAATTTGCCCCCTGTATGAGTGTTAAGACTGACCTCATCGTTATGTCAGAGCATTGGCTCTCTACGTGTCGTCCATTTTAAGAGACACAATCTCCACGCCTGCCTGATTTCCCTATGACCAACGATAATGAATGCAATAGGCTAAAATGGGAACTTACAATCCCCAATAAGCAGTGAAAACTGGCAGCAATAATGGTATCAATGCCGCTGCTTGCTCTACTGCTTATGGCCATCTACCCCATCTGACTGCAAATTATTCCTCAGGTAGTCGTTGTCTGATAGAATTGCCGCTTTTCCAGAAAACAATAGCTTTTAATGTGCCAGCCATGTGCTCCTCGATTGACGGAAACATTGTCTCATGAAATAATTACATAAATCTTGTCGAATTCATTATTGTTTTTATAAGTTGATTTCAGTAGCCTATCATCAATTGCGAAGACGTCGAAGCGTCAACCCAGCCGAAATTCGTAGAATGCGAAAAATTGTGGAACTTGCACAGGCTAGTTCAAATTATGTCACCCATATTGTAGACCGCCTTTTCCTCCTATGCATTCATTACAAAATTCGTTCAAAGCTGGTGTACCGAGTAATCCCCTCCTTCCTGTCTGTAAGTTAGTACTTACGAGTGAACGCACAATCAACGCAAGGCAATGTGTACTTTATACTGTTTTATCACAGGAGGATTCTATTAGAATGGGCATTTCTTCATACAAAAATGATTTGTCAGTTGGGTACCCCGAGAAATGGCATGCCTTTCAGGAAGCATGGTATGACTTCATCATACAGGGTTAATTACTCAGGTGGATGGGGTGAGGACATCGAACGCAAGAAGAAGCGGCAAGCATAATGAATGAATGATGATGAATGTTTTTTCGGAGAGGCTTACATACTACTCAGGAGCGTACTCATTGTAGGAGTATATAAACCAGGGAAAGTCGATGGCGTTTATCCCTTCTAGATTTAATCGCAGCCAGTCCTCTTCCACGTGGTTGTATCAAACAGATGTAAAATAGCTATGCTCTGCACCACCTTCCATGCATCCAAGTTTGATGGAGAAAAAAGTGTGTATTCTACTTTAGTGAAAGTTTAATTTAATTCCGCTCTTTAGGCGTTCCATCACCGTAGCCGCCCACGGTCTTTACGTCATCGTTATGATTACAAGGTATCACAGCACATTTCGTTGTTCCATGTACGCACTAGACTTGTTGATTGTCGTCTGGATTAATGGTATCTGGACTAACCCATGCCACATGGGTCGCCTATTTGTGACTTGGCACATGTTCTGGTGTACTCAGTATGAGAGACTTAGTTCTTTGTACATGTGCGATTAAAGGTGGCGGCTCAACCTGAGCACGCTCCAGTATTAAGCAAAGTGAAGAAGGCTTAGAAGATTGGCTGGGTATCAGCCTGTAAAGTAACTCATTTCGCGACAGATCTTGGCGACCCTGTCGATATTCAAGAAAACGGATCAACCTTCCTAAAAATTCTGTTTGGGAAGTGATAACTCTCCATATTGGGATCAGCGCAGTGTATTGGAATCTGTGAGTGAATATAAATGGAGGTGAGAGGGGAGAATTGGCCTAAGTTCGCTAGGTTGCACAACCAATGAAGTGAGCGAATCGTTTGACGATTGTTTGCTTGCCACCACAGATTATAGGGTGGGTCCATCTGTCGATCGTTTAACTAGTCAGTCGGTTAAGGAACCTTGTAAAAACGGAACGAGCACCAACGGAGGGTAGCACTTTAGCCTATAGGATAAGTGCACCGATCTTCAAGGGACTAGGGTGTTGCAACAGGGCAGACACACAATTTGAGTGTCCTTCAGTAGCCGCCTGATGGACTAACGTGTCTCCAAATGTATCAATTTTTTGAACATAGACTCCACATCCCGGTCAATGTTACTAGGAACAGTCCTAAACATGGCTGATGCAATGTCTTTGGGCAAAAAACAAAACACGGTATCATCCACGAGCCGTCCGCTAGTTTATAGAAGTACTTTTAAGGAACTACCTCTTTGTTGTAAACGCAGATTCTGCTTCTCTTCTAGCTGGGACACTTTCAACATACCAGGGATGACTTTGAGGAGGGAGAAGTGTTAAGGAATCCCCCTGATTGATTTATCAGCAATCGAAAGTGCTTCCCATTTACCTACATACCGAGCTACGCGAAATGTGCTTTACAAAAATTAATTTTGTGTCATTTCGTCCACGCCCACGAAACCCTGAAACAGTGACGTAGCCCTACTCTGCTAGTAATTAATTCCATGAATGATAAGTTTGATCTGGAAGTGGTTGGCTGATTGAAGAATAAATTAGAAGTGTAAAAAGGATGATGAATTGTGGCGAAAATTTGCGTCCATATAGTTTCGTTGCTTATTCACGGGATGGATACCCTCCTCCATACACGGTAATGATTAATTCGGTAAAGCCGGAGATGGTGGAGAGGGAAGTAACAGCGTTCGACGAGTGCAATCTACGAGTCGTCCCGGTGCATCAGATGGACATGGTGACAGACTATCTGATGCAGGCGCAAGCCGCACACCACGCCGCCGAGGAGATCACTAACCACGCACTAGATCTTGCCCAGTCGGAGGTCTAGCTGATGCGCCTTAGCTTACCTACATTTCCTTGTGCCAGCAGAGTCGTTGACAGTGGTGGCTGCTGGCATTACACCATCGTTCTTCCTCACTACCCTTCTCTTCGTGCATTCATGGCTATCACCACTGTTTTGTCGCCTTCTTTACATGTCTGATTTACGTCTTTTACCCATCTACCATTCCGTGGTGCTTTGACTGAGCAGACAGACCTTCTTTCATTGTGATCCACGGGTGGTACGTCCGAATGTGGTCTGTTCCACTGAAGTCCATGTGACGTGCAACTATTTCCCAAATATGCGATGAGTCCATTGGCACATAAACACGTCCAACCACTAAAAGAAGTTATTTGAAGAATGGGAGCTTTCTACGCTTCGCCCGTTGGGTGCTTCTCGCAAGGCAATTCAAAGGTCCCAGTCTCAGCCCACACGAATAAAGGTGGCTTCCACTAATCAAATGCCGTTATTAACAAGCGAAAGAAAGTGGATGAAAGTATGCGGCGACCCAGTCCTCCTTTAAAGCCTGACTAAGCACGGCAGTGCCTTTGGCGTGAGGCCGCCACACTGCCGAGGCAATGCCAGAGGCATGGTTGACATAGTTGGTACGTCCGTTACCAGACATAAGGGAAAGTTGGTTGAAAAGTTATTTTGCAGATGCTTTGTCGCATCTTCTACACCAACACCTGCAAAGCCGGACTGACGCACTCAAACGCTGATCAGCACCCTATCATGATCCATCTCACCTCAACTCATCTCCAACAAGAGGCATCCTCCATACTTCCTTACCCTGTACTCGCTGTGCAGTACGGTTTGGCCCCACCCTACACGTGTGTATCTGGGTTCAAGCCACCTATCATGCTGGTACCCGACGTTCAAAACAGAGGCTAACTATTGCTTTACCCACCTACAGAATGGCAAAATCACTGTTGTGGAGGCACCCTGTCTTTCCTCCATCCGGCAATCTATGCCCTCACACGGAGGCTAATTGTTAAACAATACGTCAACAACAATGCCCTCTCTCATACAGCAAAAAAACTCACAAATAACCACCAACACCTCTACGAGCACAATGTTACCAGCATGTTACACAGACAGCTTACAAGCCACATCCACGAATGTCATCCTGCTCTTTCGCAAAGTCAATAAGCACACCATAAATATCTAAAACAGTGCATTAAAATGAACCTATAGTTACATATAAAAGACAAATTAGCACAGCCCAAGGAAGACATAATAGAGGAAGGCGAATGCCCTAGTAGGCGAGACCTCAACTACGTCTTGCATAAAAACCACCAAGAAAAAGCGTTTGGGCTTCCGCACTCGAGCCGCACAATGAGATGAACAACAGTAGCAAATGAAGACAGGGAAGTTCTCCTTGATTTGCTGTATGGCATACATACGCTTAAAATGCCTCAACGTAAAACATCCCACGTACCGATCCTCCTCCACACCACAAAGGCGACAACATCCGTGGCAGCGACGCAGCACCTGCAGCCGTAGCTGAACATCTCGGGGCAGCTGCGACTCCAAATCCGATAGTCTGAAAAATAGTTAAAATTTCACAAAGCAACAGTCTTAGGACCACACCGACTGACCACTTAACTTTCGGGCAATCAAGTTATCGCACAGTAATAATTTCTCCTCGCTCTAGTTCTTAAATTCCATAACCCCATTCACATGCTACCACCGAAGCAACTGTGCTGTTATGGTGCCTTATTTCTCCTCGCAGACAGAATCAGGCAGCCAACTTCTCCACGACACACCTCTTACACCAACTCAACACCACATAGGGTGCAATCTCCCACTTTTCTTCCTCAATTAACGACCCCACCAAGCACCATCACTGTCTCTTACGAGGCCGAAACGTAGGGCCACGCTGTCTACTATCGCTAATCCATAAATACACGTGAATTGACATCAGTAGCGTTCCACATCGTGACGATTTGAAGGCCATTTTATCTGTAAACCACTACTGCATTAGTCGGTAACATGCTACTTCAAGGTCATTATCCTTCCAAAAGCTATTTAGCAAACCACCGTGGATCAACTGTGCAAGCAACCAACCGTACTCAAAATCCCACTTCAAATTAAAACTACTCCAGTCCCACCCACCATACTATCTCGTGGCGCCAAGCCACCTTACCTCTGAAGTCGAGCAAGGCGTCTTTCATATCATTCACCTGAACACATCCTAAATCACATGTTGGTCGCAAAGTGACGTAATCGCATCATGTCCACAATAACATCAAAACAACTATTCATTTTATAGCCACTTACATATGTTCATAATCTCGCAGAAATGATGCAGATGCAAAGTGGAAAAGACTCTTAGGACCCTTGCCACACTTCTTCGGGAAAAATGGAGCCATCCACCGGTTTCCGGTAAGACTCATTTTTCCTACCTCCAAGAATTGGGAGGCAGCATAGGGTAGGCAGCGCAGTCTATTATTTCTTAGTTCAATATTCTTAAGCTTCGTCACCCTGTGCAAGTTGGCCGCTGGTAATGCACCTAGGCGATTGTCTGAAAGTAGCAAAGAGAGAGGCCGATTACACATGCAATATCACCAACAGTCATCCATCTATGGACATTGGTAAGTATTGTATTACTCCGATTACCCGTTATAAGCAGGCTCTGCAGCTTCCCCAGATTCCAAAAGTCCTCCGGGAGCCAAGCGATTCTGTTCTCCGACAAGTCCAAGCAACGCAAACTGCCGGCCAGAGCAGAGTCTCTCGAAACACTCGGCCAAGCCACCAGTCGATTTGACTTCAGGGAGAGGTGAGTTAGGCGCAAACACTCCAGAGCTTTGGGGACTGATGGAATCCAGTTATTCCCCACGTTCAACACGGATAAATCTGCCAGCTGTAATATACGATTATCAAATGACCGAAGGCCCATATTTCTTGTGTGCAGACTCTCAAGATGAGGTGGAAACGGCTCCTTTTGGGGATAATCTCGCCGGCTTGCAATCACAAGTGTGCCGTCATCAGACGTCTACAAACTGTATGATAACATGGTGACATAGCCTGGAGGATCCACCACTCGAACATATCAGGGCTCTTACGTCAGCCTTTTCTCGATTCTGCATAGCACGAAGAAAGTGACACAGTTGACGAGCCAAATTCGGATTAACCTAAGACGCAGTGACACGAAAGTGCCAGTGCTCTACCTTGGGAAAAGCGACGTCCCACGCTAGTTCAGTCAGACTGATGGCAAATTTACCATCGCGCACACGCCTGTCATCAACAGCCGTAATGTTCCCATTAAGCTGAATTCATTAACAATGGAAACTCGATTACCTTAAAACTTAACGTCCATTTACTCCACACACATGACAGAGCCATGTAGGGAGGGGAACCGTAAATCCCAACATCAGTTACTCTGAATCGCCTACCCCTTACAACCAACGAGCTTGATGGGGAACACAAGGTCTCGCAACAAAAGATCATAATGGGCTTGAGAAAACCCCCGCATGCCGCGCCTGATCAGAACCTAATTACACAGTGCATTCTAACAAAGCTCAAGCGTTCTCACAATAAATAAAATTCCTAGCAGCAAAAATGAAAATTAAAAGTGAATTACCTCAATAATATTTTTAAAGAGGTAATCCTAAATGTTGTAGTGGAAAGCACACTCACTATAATATGGATATTTGCTTAGGTAGCAGTCAATGCTACCAATCGGTTTCCTCTCTTTTGCCCATCAGTCTAATAACCAGTTTTCGTGACGTTGCATCTTATGAGTAAGCACTTTAACTGCTTGTTTAGCTCTCAATCTTGTCAACGGGCCGGTCAGGGCTTCGCTTTTATGCCTCCAGTTCATGGAAGTGAGCACCAAGCCCTACTTTTCGTCAGCAACAAATATTCTGCCCCAGCATTATGTCTTTTTGAATGGCTTAAGGAAGTTGTTAAGAGCTAAATATACGCTTAACAAGTCTTCACATCCATGCATAAACGATTTGTCGTAAATATCCCCCGTAATTAAATCCCTTACAGACTTTACATTAGAGCAGAAGCTACCTGATAAATACATGACACTGAGGTAGGAAATAACGAAAAGGAAAACTTTTGCAGTGCTTCGGCTTCTGTTTAACATTATGGTTATCTATGCAGGCCGTTTCCTCCCCCCTCTGGAGGTCTTTTCGTTCTGCAGGACGGCTCTCGGCCCATGTTGGTGGCCGTCTGGTTACTCTGTGGCCTAGCAATGTACTATTTACACGGCACTTTGATCCATCACGATTCATGCAAAGACAGGGGTGTTTGATTTTTAGCCTCCGATAAGGCGAATTCTACCCGGTATACAGAAAATTAGTAACGCAATGCCAAAATTGGAAAACGTTGAAGAATTTAAGCTTGTTTTGTAAGGTTAGATTAAGTTGAAGTTAAAATTGAAAGAAAATATTTGCGGCGTGCTTCAAAATTAAGCAGCAGTGGAATGAGAGAAAGATTTTGCCATGTGCACCACCGAAGGCGTCATCAGTGCAGTTAAAGAAAAAACACTGAAATACAGCTCTATGCTGCATTAACTTGTAGCGCATAAGGAATAAATGAGAGTGACAATCAAGTGAACGCGATGAAATTAAAGAAAAGAAAAGACAGCGGGGAGGGTTGTAATAGTAAACTAAATAAGCGCATAAATTTATGCTAGGTTACGGCAGTCGAGATCATTGTCAACACCAAAACCATCGAAAGTACGCTCAACTCATTGAACGGGAAATACATTGCCAAGAATAGCAAAGTGACTACAAACTGTGACTCTGTAAACAACTGCTGGCATTTCTTGACAGGACAAGCATGGAAACAAATGGAAAGGTAAAGAGCTGGTGTACCTTGCCACGACGCACAAGTTTTCACTTGAATAAAACTGCGACTAGGTTTATGTCTCGTTCCGGTTGAGGGAAGAATGGACCAATTTAAGAGGAATTAGGAAAAGTGGTGCCACATACCAAAAAAGTCATCGAGATATCCAGCATGAGGCATGTTACGAAAACTTCGTTTCTTGTTGATAACGAAGGAGGGGGGAAAGACTAATCTAGCTGGATAGAACGAATTGTGTTCCATCTAAAATACTGGCTTCTTTATCATTCTGTGGTTTTGGCGATTACTTCTTTTAGATTACCTATGCTGATATCTTTTGAACTAAAAACATGGGGTGTGAGGCGAAGTGTTAACTGATTTAATTCACCCCACCCAATCACTGCCATAGCGGACCTAGCTGAAATGGTATTTTGGAGGTATCGCGGCTCCACCGTCAAATGCGTACCCTTGCATTGAAAAACGACCGTCTTAGGCTTGATGCTAACAGTGCTTATTTCATCGTGTTGTAGATGTTTCGCCTGCTCCACACACAGTTACCATGGAAAAAAGGTTTAGGTAGCCATTTGCCGAAGCAGGAAATGAAGGTAGCAATGCAATGGGGTCTGCACAATGACGAGTGTGTAAACTCGGGGAAAATATTTCACTGACTTACTTTCGAGCGTATGCTTAGCCAGATTAGACCTAAATTACTTGCTTGCTTACAAATTTCCTGATTGATTTTAAGCCGTGAACTATCCATCTGTCAAAATTAGTGGCTTTTGCTTATCATCTTACCATTTAGTCCAAAATATGGACATTTAACTTCCGCACACCAAATATCATTTAATCTCTAAATTGTCAGCTTCCAATGAGTGAAACTTCGGGAACTCTAGGGCGTTGACAAGGAGGATAGACGCTTTAAACGTTAGGCCCCAGAACTTTTGACTGTGGTAACTTCTTGTATAATATGTATGGCTTTTAAATCCTCCTCCAGACGGAGATGATCCAACAATCCGCGGGCACTTAAGTAAGCTATGAAGGAAGGAACTCAACGCTATGACCGTAAAAGCTCCATGCAGGAAAAACAGGTACTTTGGAAATCTGCCTGAGTTTATCTATAAGCCACTGGTTTCATTAAAAAGCCCACAAATAATGGTAATAATTTAGTCAAGCATGCAATTGTAGAAGGGAGAGGCTGTGTTTGTCGATAGGTTCATCCATAGATGACATCGAAACGGGCGAATTCCATTAACTCCATCACATTGAGGTGCCTATCACAAACTAGTCGCCAATCCACTTGTGTCTTAGCCAGTACGGAATTCTCAAAGCTATCAAAACTTTTAATAAAAATTTGGACAAAAGTATATACCGTTTGCTGTGCCACTTAAATTATCTGGCAAGACTGCTTTAATTAATATCTGATGAGGTGCGATAACGTCTGCGAGGCCAATCTGGTCATTCCTGAAAGAAAGTGCAGAATCCATCGAGTTTATAAAACGGTCATAATGGCAGATGTTGCCATCAAGTTTGCGTGTACGATTCCTGTTGTATTCTACAGCGGCATCTACCTCAGTAGCTCAATTAGTGCAGTCAGCAAACCACCCTACACCCACGTAAAAGAACAGTAAATTCACGGCTAGCCAATCCTACTGACTGAATCTGCTATTCCATGACATTTAGGCGTCAGCCATGTATTCGACCTACACCACGATCTTTTCCAATGTTGATGTAGGGGTGAACCAACTATTACACCATCATTCATGTTGGACATCGCTGTTGGTTGCAATAACCAAACGAAGCATATAATACTTTGTTAATCAAAAAGACTCTTCCTAAATGTGGTGCGCCTAGAGAGACTCAACACCACCACAAAGTGTTTAAACCAGACTATCATAAGCCATGCATTTTGCTATTCCCTACAACACTTTTTTCCAATTTCAATTGTGTATTTGAGAGCCGAGTGGGCTCGGGAGGTGGTGGAACCTGGAGCACAAGTGATTTTCGCAGCCCACCGAGGGCTTTCAAGAGGAAAGGGGGGAAATTTCAAGACTCCTAATATGTCCCAAACGCAAGTCTTCTCCTTCCTATTGCACACGTTAATGCAATTGCACTCGACCTTTTAGGCCGACAGGTGGTCATTTAAATTTAACCCTAATATTTGCTTTATTCTCATCTTTTTTCCTATTTGTAAAAAGACGTTGAAAATTCCTGCCAGTCAGCTATTACTTGGTGTAGCTTCAAATTTCCTTTTGCTAATATTATGCGTTCCAGAATCCGGAGAGATACCTGAAATGTCACCCCATGCACAAACCCTCCTTTTACAAAGGTGATCCTTATTTGCTAAGATATCAGAATATTGGAATTGATGTCTGAATATCGAATAGATGACATTATAGTCTACATCGAGCTCGTGTTCGGAGCATTTAATCGGGCAACCTGGTGAAATTCCTTACAGCCTAACTGACTGGATTTTCCGCTATTTGACTGAATACTTTTTGAGTGCCAATGGCTTTGATCTTAAGTCGCGGTTACAATATTCTTTGTGCTGCTAGAAATTGCCGAATACAGTTTTGCACAAATGCAAGCTATTCTTCGTCGTTGTCAAATGTTATTAACCGGTTTGAGTTGTTAAAGTCTGACAATATCTGGTGTTACCAAATCGCAGGGCGCCCAAAAATGCACTAGACGACCGAAAGTGCTTGTGTTGTTTTTGGTGAAACTCGTTGCAGCCACACGTGGGGGTTTGTAAGACACAAGCGTCAGTATCAATGCGGTACTCTTCACATTTCTTTGCGTTTTGAAACCTCATGCTCATTGTTTAAAACTAAACATTGGTATAGCTAGGTACTAAGGCTAAAGTGGAAGCCGGGTTTATATCATCCAATCCTCTTGTGTGTAATTCATTAAACAGTTTGCATTGTCGAACCCGTGGCAAGTAGTCTAAATGAGCATTGAATCGTGGAAATGCAAGTGCAAGAAACAAAGACTATCCACTGATGGGATGGTTCATGGAAATAGGTACGTAAAAATAAACAAACGAGAACAAAACAAATGACTATACAAGAGGAGAGTGAGAGACTTAAGAGACTAAGTAGGTGACTTGACAAGCAAAAGCGTCCTCTATTTGGAAGTACCATTTGTTGATGATGGTAGCGATTTCAAAGGAAGGTGGTACGGGGAAGGCCTCCTCCTAGGTAAGGCTCAGGATCGCTGATGTGACCGAATAGGCGCTTTCATGAACAAGCGCACCAGAATCTCCCACCCTGACTTGCTCATCTACGATTCCAAGAGAAACAAGAAAGGAAAAATAAAATTGGCTGTATCATAGAAATAATAATTGAAGGCCGAGGCCTACCTTGGACACATGATCAAGAATAAAGTGTAAAATGTAAGCATAACTTCAATGGATATGCTAAATGTGCATTTACGCATATAAACAACCCTTTTAGCAATAGGACCATAACGAATGCTTTTCTATTCCAAAACTGCTCAGAAATCAATGGAAAGCTTGGAAACAGAGCAGGATGTGGACCGGACCAAAGGAAGATCATGTAAATATAAGATTAAACTACCCACTAGAATAGAATAAAACCATGCGGTAAGGTATGCGACTGTAGTGTTCAGGTCTACATTTGACAACGCTTTTATATTAATGCCTCAAGCAGGACTGGTTTCTGCTTGAGTGTTCCGAGTTCGAAGTGTTAGCATTCCACAAGGCGATTCTCCAGTGCCATGTATCAGTATATCAAGTAATGTACCTGGCTGGTTAGGCAACTATGCCAGCTACTCTTTCCACAACCTTTACCAACTTTCCTTTAAATACTTTTAAATCTGATACAAGTATGATGAAACAAACTAGCTCTTATCAAGTCACAGAACCACTCTTTTGCCTTTTGCCATACTATACTATAATACGATGTCGTATTTTGAGTATACACTACAGATGGGATCACCGCACTTTGAAAGTATCAAGTACATTGCAACGAACAAGTATACAAGGAGCAGGCGTTTTGCTAGGACAAGTAATTTCATACTTACTGGCCATTCCAATGAAGGTGGTTTGGCCTGCGATATCAAAAGGATCATATTTACAGGAGCAGGAGATAAAATTGAGTGGTATGACTGCGCAATTAGCTTTGTGCAGCCTTTGCGACTCCTCGAGGTTAATGTTCACAAGGATCGAGAGTTGGGTAAAGGCGACTCCGATTAAGCCAAGAGACTGCCTATGCTTAATCACACCGACTCCGCCGTCACTAGCCACATATTCTATTTGCCTTTTAAGCCCCCTACCTCACCGCAGAGCCTACACTGTCAAGCCGCTAGGACTCCTCCATCAAAAATTGACAGCTTCCGGCACAATGAGCATGGCTTTGCAAATCCTCCCTCTGACGAAGAAGAAGCAGCAGCCCGTAAACGTCTGGGTAAGCTATAAAGGAAATTCACCCAACATGATAGGTGTGAAAAGTCCATGCAGTAAAAAAGTACACTTTGAAAATCCCCTCAAGTTATTTTAAAAGTCACTGGATTCATTGATAAACAAAAAGTTGATCAGTTATATTGCCAAAAATCCAGATCAGATCATACTTGGTTGAAGTGCCTTCATCATTGCGGCCACTGCCAATGCAAGAGCATTGGCAGTGGCCTCAAGTCGTAACTGACAAATTCCAAAAACTCCATCACATTGAGGTAGTTGGGTTCAAGACGCTTGGCACTGCAGTCGCCAATCCATTGATGTGGTAGCCAGTGGCGACTTCTCAAAGTTGTCAAAACTTCTAATAAATTTGGGAAGAACTGGTATACCATCCGCTGTCACTCGAACCATCAGGCAGGACTGCCATAAGTAGGATATGATGGTGTGCAATGACGTCTAGGTGACCAATTAGGTCATTCTTGAAATAAAACATGGGATCCCATCAAACATATGTAACAGTCGAAGTGTCAGGCGCTGCCTTCAAATTTATGTGTTCGAAAACTGTGGTAATCCATTAATTCATCCCTCCTAATATAACTCATATGAAAGGGAGTATCCCTCAGTAATTCATTACAGACGAACGTGGCAAATAGTGACCTTGAAGGAGATAACTTGTAATGTAGATAGCCATAGTCACCGTACTGTCTCACTAAGCGTTGGTGCGGTAGGAGACAGCAGTATATTTACTGCCAGATATAGAATAGACCAAGTTGGCTTAGAGATTGCTGGAAGGGGTCTGCTTCCCTTATACGGTATTCGATAGCTGCAAGTGGGTCTCAGAAGGTAGTTGGCGAGATCCGTGGGAAGAGCATTTGGCACAGACACTTGTCTAGCCAATTCCACCCACTGATGTGCTAATCCATTGCTTGTAGGGATCGACGAGTTGCAAGTACCCATCTTCAATCCGGAACTGCCTTACAGGACCATTCAGAAATTAACGTATTTTAGTGCCAGTTCGGGTGGAAGACCAGTAATATTACAGTGCGCAGCATTCTGCAAGTAAATTACTAGAAGAGCATGTCATCACACGTGAAGTGGCGATAGTATAAATGAAATGCGACGAAAGGAAAGTGGAGAAACGAATAAACACGGTGAAATAAGGATGGATTTGCAAATAAGGAGAAAAAAGTAGAGCCTACTGGAACTCACCATCATCCAGAAGCGCTAGCGGAGATTGAATTTGTTACGCAGATATCAGGGTTTAAACAATCTGCATTTCGAGAGAGGGGCTGGATTGACCTTACCGTGATGTCAACAAATTGGTTCCCGCTCTGCCGTCTAGTTTGGAAGTTGCGTTAATCACCATGCCTGCATGATTCCTCGTCGTCCACCGACAATGAAAGCCATCACCGAACATGAGCACTCAGTGTTTTACACATAGTGACTAGCCGGAGCGACAATATCACCAACACCGTTGCATCATTTACTGCTAATATGCACATTATCAAACATTATTAAACATCAAACCATGCCCTAGATGGTCGTTGCCTAATGGATGTGTCACTTTTGTAGAAAAGGATGGTTCACAAGTGCCAGCAAAGCACTGTTTCAGTGACTGGAACAACGTCCTGTAGAATAATTGTATGAAACCCGTCTAATGCAATACTGTTTGAAGGTGTCAATTTCAACTGGGGCAGACAACCAACTGCGAAAATGCGAATAGTTCGCTGGTTCCGTAAGCCAAGGCGTCAACAAAATTGAAGTCGATTTGATCGGAAGAAACAATGAAGACTAGCGCGGGTTAGCCCTCTTCGGGTTACGTGTACTGCGAGCCGCCCTGTTCTCTTACGTGTTGCTCCCAAAATATCTCTTAAGTTTGTCTACTGGGTAACCTTGCCGCTATACTGAAGAATACATGATAAAAATGGGGTGTGCGGTCTACACTACCTTAGCACGCGAAGACACCCCGGGATAAGGCATCCCCCCATGTATGGCTGATCCAATGGTTCGGTCCCCTAATGCAATCATATGTCCCTCAACAAGCACACTGCCTTTTTTTTCACCTACAAGTAACCACTCATGCAAGTGGAGCGTATGATGTAGGGAGCGGCTAATCCAACCAACGCCAGGGGCCTAGCCATTCGCAGGAAAAGCTCGCATAATACTGTAACCACGCTCTTTTAGGTGGAACGCAGACGACGCACGAATGATCGCCTCGACCGATGTCCACTGCACTTGATTCTAGACGACCCTTTCCCATATGGTTATGCCAAACAGGAAATCTGAAATACTCCTGCGCTGTCCCACCCCTTGCAAACTCAAGGCCAGTCCAAAAGACAGCGTGCACACCCCCGAAGCGGAGCCCACCTCCACCCCAGTCCATTTCATATCTCCTATTTTCGTTTGGGGACAAGCATCGCCGCCCAGTGCCTCACACAGATACCCGGTTTGGTTGCTGTAGTGGAGTCAAATCAACCAGGGCAGCAACCAACATGAGCAGGCAACCCACGACGGCAACCAACACGCGCGATTCCAATCCACTCCCGTTAACGAAAGCTCCCCGCGCTCGTACACTATTTTCCGCCCAAAGCAACTACTTTCTCGGCAACCATGATCCTCCACAACCAAACCAGATCTGTCAAATCCAATATCCCCTGCATAAAACTACCCACGCGTAATCACACTGCCTCCCTTAACCTTGTCTTATTTTTCTTTCACAGACCCTGGATCACCCCACCGCCTACAATGGCACCCCGGCAAGACACCGTAAGATAAAACAGATGGGGGAAGAGAGGTATAGGCATGGGTGATGCCACGCCGATGTCGATGGTGGTAGGGATGAGTCCAATTAGCGCCTGTACTTCCGGAGTGATGGATAGATGCTCGTAGTGATGACAGAGGCGTACCAATTGCTTCCACTCCTGCGGAAGGACACCTCCGCTGTAAAACTCCAAGAAGGCCGAGAGACTCTTGAACCACGTTAGTGACATTCAATCCCGTGTCTGAAATACATGAAACAACTCGCTTTGTCGAACCTGTGTAAAGAAAACATGAGAAAAGTAGACAAAATGGGCGAGTGGGATGTGTACTGTAGCCAAACATGAGTGCAATAAAAATTGATTCGGCGTAGATGGGTCGATTCATGGGCGAACAGATCGAGTACCAGTAATCGGATGGATACGCAATAAAAGTAAGGATTCCTAATGGAAGGAGAAATGAACAGCTTTAGGATGAATGGAAATAGGTACGAAAAAGTAGGTAAATAAGAACAAAGCAAAGGATTGTACAAGTGGAGAGGGAGCAGGCTACGAGGAAGAGTAGGCGACTAGGCGAGCAACAGCGTCCTCAAGTTGAAAGTATTGAACATGGGATGGGTTAATCCTTGTGGGTAAGGGTCAGGACCACTGCAAAAAATGCGCCTTATTAAGAGCCGACTTAATCAGATGCGCCAGAATCATCCCTTCTGTCTTCTTCATCTCCGACTGAGGGAAAAAGGAAGGTAAAATAAAATTGGCCACGCAATCATATAGTGAAGCGGCTAGCATTGTCGAGTAAGTGATGAGTGAAATTAGAAGTCTTTGCACACATTACCAAAGGGAGTAGGAACCTGGGCGCATTCCGGAAGCATGACTTCACTGAATATAGTAAATGTACATTCACGCACATAATCAACAGTTCCAGTCAAGATGCGGTTCGGAAATGGAGTAGGGTATGGAAACTCCCAAGCAGAAATCAAAGCACTTAAGTAGAGGTTAGATTATCTAGCAGAGTATACTACGTGCCTACACTGAGCTACGCTATTGCGACGAAAAGTTCGTTATTTCTTAACTAGAGCCAGAACCGGTCCCTGCCTAGTTCTCGAGAAGCGACTGACACCTACTACAAGGACACCCTGAGTTGGTCATGAAGAAGTGCAATGCGGACATTTCAATACTTAAAACCAATATTCGCCCATAAAATTTAGAAATAATATGACAACCTTCGGAAGATCAAATGGAACTCTGCTTAGCAAATCCTGTACCGGTGGTGTGGAACGGTAAAAACTGTCAAACAGTATAGATAATCTGGAAATCATTTGATAAAATTACCGCACAACTAAGCTCACTTCTGCTGTTTTTCAGCAAAATACTCATTAGAAACTCATTTCACAAATTGGTTACAGTTACAAATACTATGGTTAACATATCCTTTATAAGTGGTATTTGATACCCCTGGATGATAGCTTCAGTGCAGTCTCGATATTCCTATCTGCATTAACGGAGAGAATGTTTACCTTAACCCTAACCCGCGTGACGTGACACTACATCAGAATCAGCAGCAGACAGCTCCCATAAAAGATACAGCCAAGCCAAGATCGACAATATAGAGCTACCGGAGTGCTCAGTGACCACAAAATACTAGCATCTAAGTGCTTTGAAAAACATACTAAAACGCCTGGTTTCCTAGTTTTAAAAGGAAAACGTTAAAAATCCGAGGATGAGTATGATTGGTTCACTCCAGTGGTGAGAGCATTTCCAGTAGATCATCACACCGGGGCAAATGCGGGAGCGTTTCGATGGTTTTAGGAAGAGGGTCATAGCGAAGGCGCAACAAGACATCCTTTGGCACACGAATGTAGTTTTGCAACTCATCTGGTAGCTTCTTGAAGTCGTCAATCGCCATAAGGTTATCAAGATCTGACACGCCGCACCATCCAATTATTCACGTTTGCTCCTAACCCTCACTTTCAGGATGCTGAAAGCGGCAATGTGAATTAGATGGTGGTAGACAAGTGGGCTAAAACAGCTATTCAATTATGCATGTTGACAGGAAAAGGCAAGGTTGGGGAATACTAGAACAGACTGAATTGCCAAAGTAGGCCAAATTACTAGGTTTAAAAATTTATTGGGCTTCTTATTATGGCTTTGAGGACGCTATCTAATACGTATTCTGGGTGTTTATTAAAAGACGGAAGAATACAGTTTATTACCAACAAATTTGCAGTATTTGCTTTGGGCTAATACGTCATCTAAAATTACATGAAACGCAAAGAGTTTGCTTTATTTTTATACAAACAATGACGCCAAGCTTACTGACTTGTAATATTTTGGGTTTAGAACATTAAATTTAAACTAGTTTTGCCTTTATGTCACTTAAATGGCACAAATAACAGTAGGTGATTCTAAGTTGTTCACAGCACTTATCGCTGTTCACTTCTAATATAGATTTTATTAATCATATCTAAATTTTTATGACAAAGCATGTCAATTTAATGTACGTGTGTCTTGGTTACACCACCTATTTTTATTTTATTATGCCTGTAACATCAAAGTTTGTGCTTTGCCAGGGAAAGTGCTTGTTTTACCATTACTAGGTGCAAGTTTCTTCTTCTGGTTACCCGCTAGCTCATGCGCTCATTTAGTGCATTCCTGGAATGGATGGGGTCGTAAACATTTTCTCTGCGGAACCACGTGATGATGAAGAGGCCATTATTTCAGATGTAAGACAACCTATCCCGTATTGATGTTCTTAGTCAGGCCAACTCTTTCCTTCTCTTTCATATTCAACAAGAATCAAAGGTTTTGCAGCATGTTTTGTACTTGGCGTCTTGATGTCACTTCTGGTATGTGGCACCACTCTTCCTGATCTGTCCTAGAGTAACCTGTTCTTCCTTTTACCAGGACGTGGTATAAGTCTGTTCGCACTATTTTATTCGATTGGAAATTTGTGTGCTTTGGCAAGGTACACTAGTTCTTTCTCTTTACTTCGTTTCCATTCCAGCACATTTTTCTTAGTGGGTCCTGTCAAACAGTGTAAACGAATGTTTGCTGAATCTCGGATTGTGGCCGCTTTGCTATTTTTGGTAATGCATTTCGCATGCACTGAGCTCTAAGCACTTTAGGTATTTTTGGCACTGACAATCGTCTCGGCTGTCGTAAGTTGGCATTCAATTTATTAGCTTATGTTGTTTAGTATTACAAAGCTCCCCTTTGTCTCCTCTTTTCTATTCTTCAATTCATGGCGTTGACCTGGTATTCACTTTCATTCATACCTTATGCGCGGTGAGTTAAATTAGGGAAAGGTTTATTTTGTCTTTTATCTGATCACTGTCCAGTTTAATAGTGATTTTGTCTATTCTAAGCCACTGTCGTTTCTTTTCTGGAGTTGTCTATTTTTAGGTGGAAAGTACTTAAGTACTAGCCCAAGCTTCTCACGTAGCTTAGAAATGATGAGCTTACACTGCAGATGTGATTTGTTGCGAGTGCCTTTTATAAATTTGTTTCAAAAGCGTTTTTCTACCCAGGTGTGGCATAGGCTTACGATTTGCCTCTCTTAAGTTCTGCTTAATTATTTCATGTTCTGCAGGACGGCCGTACGATCTTGTTTAACGTCTATGTGCTAACTTTCATCACCTTATTGATACGTTCTTCATATTTTTGATTCTGCTAACTCATTAAAACGCCTGTTTGTCATATTACCTGTTGGTCTGTAAAAAGCCTACATTGATTACTCCTCTGCATTCTTATTAACGACAAAGAGCGTCTCAGCACTCCTGAAAAGTTTGGTGATAGTGGTGTTCTGTTCCTATCCATGATCTGCAAAATTGTCTTGATCTTACGCCAAGCATTTTTGTAAGGATTGCAAGACTTGGTTGGGATTTTGCGTTTAGCCCAACATTGTTACGTAAAATCGTCTCTGCTTCTCGTGAACAAAGTAAGGGATTTTCCCAATCGGGAGTCGTTACCCTTAAATGCCTACATGTGCGTTAACTGATGAATGTCATCAAAAACTAGACCTCGTTTGAATTTGGGTCTGGCTGCTTTCAATGAACTTGGTCAGGTGAATATTTGTTATAGATTCGATTAAGATATAGGTTAGTCCTCGGTGTTGCTCACTTTTGGGTCTAGGCTCAAGCCTCACCACGGACAGTTGACTGGGTTGCTCTTTACTGAGTGTTTGCTGGTAACAATAAAATGTGGCGATAATATTTCCACATAGTTTCAGAGATACTCAACAACTTGTGTTAAAAGACCCAAATTTTCTAGGAAGCTGTGTACAATAGCACAACTAAGTGGATCTTGTTTCTTCAGATAAATTTTGGTTGATCCCTCTGGGCTGTGCGATGGACACCATGATCAGCGTCACCAGTTTTTCGATGCGCTAATTCTTGTCCCGAACATCGTTAACTTCGAAATCGGTACCTTTGAATTTGAAATGCCTGATCCTGCAGTTCGTCGTTATTCCTTAGGTTCCTGTTTAGGAGGGTGGTCTCCCTTACGACAGTTCTGTACCATAGGTGGCTTTGTGTTTGGCCATATTTAAGATCTGTAATCATATTTTTTTAGCCCTTTCTCTTCAAATCTACTAAATGTATCAACACCCTTCACTTCAAAGGTAAAGTAATGTCACCTTACACCATCGAGATCCCAATCAGTGTAATTGAGAGATCAGACTGGAAAACGAAGAGCATGCAAGAGCGAACACTACTGGAGCGTTGAGTTTTGTGTTGGGTCCATCCTCGCATGCATATAGCGTTTTGATCAGCTGTGGCCTCACCGGGCGTCTTGTAAAAGCACACTAAATCACTTAGTAGTGCGTCGAAGTAAATGATTTCAAAACCCATTTACTTAGTCTCCTGATGATCTGATTTTCAAGGGGTAAACTCATTTGCAGACAGTGGATAGCCGTTTTGGCGCCGATGAATCGTGCTGTCACCGACTCCACAATTGTGACGGGTGGGTAACTCGCAGCGTTACGTCCAAAAAACGATAGGACATGGCTTGGGGGATGGGGGCTAACATCGGTCTTTCCTAAAGACATCGGAGGGTTTGGGGCTGCTTGCATGGCCCAGAGGTCAGCCCACCCGACGATTAGTGGAGCGCCTAACCAACACCTTTACCAAAGTCGGGATTCAAATAACCAACGCAGTACTTAGCGCCTCTCTTCTCTTGAGCGTCGTCCACGACGCTCCCGCTTCAGCCAACACACCCGCGAGTCATCCGCACCAGACATCGAATTTTCATACGACTGAGACGATAATTGACCGAAACGTAACTGGTCCCCCTTGGCTAGTCTGCTGGACCTGTAGTTTCATTCTGTGTGGAAAATGTACTCGGGTACGAGGAAAGGTGCTGGCTATCACGCATATCCAGCGCTAGTCGTGGGAACTGCGGTTCAAAGGTGGAGTCATGTAACAAAGGTTGGGGTTTAATATTGTCCCGTGGAGGTAATGTTTCGGCTCTATTCCTCCTTGTCTCTTTGTTTTCACTTCAGAGCTATTCAGCTATATCCATCTCGGCTCTATCGAGCCAGTAGGGAAGTGGAGGAGGTTCCACGTGCTCACATTATTGATAACTTCATAGAAATACAGTGCACAGCTTCGTAACGAGCATTTTAGATGGTACACGGCTGGTGTAGCATCCGTTGTCAGTAACTTTCCTACTGAACACGGGACTGGGGTGGTTGCCATAGTACATATCATCTTCAGCCCTACTGTTGTGAGTCGTCACAAATTCATCCATCCGTGGTTTACCACCCAGCAAGAGACACCAGGATAGATATCCTTCAAGACCGGGTTCGCTTACCGCTGCCGCCAATGTAGCTCCCCGAAACTTTCCTGAAGACTAAGTCGGACACAACGCTGGAGCAAAATATGTATTGTCAGCTTGTGAAAAGGCTTGGAGCCAATGGCATGGCCCAGAGGTGGGCCACTCAGTCAAGGTACAGTGGAGGTGATCCAAAGTGGCCCCTTCGCCAAAATTGAGAGCTAAATAACCAATGCATTGCACGTGCAAGTTGTCTCTTAAAGTTAATTTCGCTAATGTTATGCAAATCTTGGAAATACGCATCGTTTTTTGGTATATCAGAGAAAAAAATAAGGCATTTTAATTCATTGTTGAAATCCTGATTCCCAGCTAATGGTACCTAATGGTTGTAATAATGATCAGAGTCAAGTGTTGACAAATATTTCGAAAAATTACCAATTATTTTGGGCACTCAAGTAGAAGCTTGAGCAGACTCAATGCCGAACAAACGCATTTGCCATAAATTGTAGGAAAAATCTTGACACCACTCTCGTTTTTTGTCTGACCACTCCAGAATTGTTCCATCGCAATGAAACAGTAGGGAGCTAATTGTTAGTCTGCTAAATCATGTGCATTCGTTGTTTTTAATTTGCGGAAGCAACCTTTTTATTAATTAACTACATTTATCCTCTTAGTTAATTTGATGTTTTGAACTGCATGCAGCACCCAGCTTTTTACTAGATCAAACTTAAATGTAATTTGCTACTTATAAAATAGTAAGTAGTAGTACCCCTTTTGTTCCTCAAGAAAGCGCGTTAACTTTTGTGATATAACCACCAAAGATAGACCTGAAATAAATCCACATAGTACAGTAAAAACCGCATGCGTTGCCAATACTGGAAATATTCCATTTACAGTTGGAGAGAATGACTTTTCCTCACCATTATACCTTTAAACAGACGTATCACAGGCTACAGAATTCGAAATCCACTTTTCCTATTGATTACTGAGAGAATTTCCCCATGTAAGTAGAAGGTAGTTGTTTTACTTTAAGAATGACCTCCGTGTTCCCCAAAAACTAGGAAAATTTGGGGCGTTTGTCAGGCGACCCAAAAAAGAAATTTGCGATATTGGCCTAATTGTCCACAGTGGGCATAAAACGTAGCACAACCGAAGCCCTGAGTTAAATATAACAGCAACTAATTTATTTTGTTGAGTAGAAAATTTGTATCATACTGTAGCTTTTTGAGGCTACTAATAATATCTTAGGTTAAGCCTCTGAGATTCTCAAAGTATAACAGGGCATCATGAATAAGGGAAGGGGTTCAAATAGCAGTTTTTGTTTTCGCCTTTTTAATAAAGTGATCGCGCCATAATGCTCTCTATCTACCTTTCAGCAGCGCACTATTTGTGAGATAGTGTAAAATTCTTATACAGGCCATGGTTCAATAAGTGGTCTGCTAAGTAGGTTTTAAGTAGACTCTGTCTGGAGAAGTCATTGGTGTTTTGGCAATACCTATGGGATCTAGGCACATCCATGTGAAGTAACTTTTAAACTGTATCACTTACTAAACACATCTTTTCAAATAACCAAATTTGCCACCTAGAGGAACCGCTATTCTATTCTGTAGGTTCTACTGATGTGCCAACACTAGCAGTGAGCATGTTCAACTTGTCCTTGATGAAACGTGCAACTGGTACTTCTACAGTCGCACAAGGCGTGCCGAATCATTTAGGCAGGTTTGAAATCTGCACAACCTATTGACACACCAACTTGGTGACTGTATGTGTTGTGAGGCTGTTAAGTCTATCGGCAAAACCAATGCTTGTCTCAAGTAGCTCCACCATCCTTAACGCCACGATTTGCATAAAGGACTGAACATTCAAGGTAGCGCAAACATGATTCCCTCACTGCTGAACACTTGATAAGTCCAACATGAAGCAGAATTCTCGTTTTCCCATTCAGATGCATCTTGGACATACGTCCGGCCACCTTAACGTGGAAACATTGGTCAACGTATGAGGGGTTAATCGCACTGTATTGTGTCAGTGAGAAACCAAGCTTTTCACGCAGTTGTACAGCACAATTATTTGTTTTATAAGCTAAGTTAAGGAGGCTTTCATCACCACTGAATCAAGAGTTTTCGGAGAATTCTTTAGTCAACTTTAACATCACCTCCTAATGTGGGTATGGTGCTCTAATTTACGAACATTTCAGTAGTAATAGTCCCTTTATTTTACTACAATCTGCTCATTAAAACAAAATCCATGGATTTTTCTCTTATAATCACTTGAGCACCTATTTTTGCCAAATAGTCTAAGCTGCCAAATCAAACGGTATCTTACCATACCAAAACATAACAATGGTAATCACAAACAGGAACAGATGCGCAGCAAGTCTGGGTTGTGGTTGATAACAGAGGTGCTACCTCAAAAAACGGGGTAGGAGATTTATTTGCCGTTCTTCATGAGATTTTAGAGAATTATCTGACATTGGCATTTAAGTTTATTTGATGAACTTACCATGGAAACGTCCAAAGCTATTTACAAAATATCAGAAGGTACGGTTGTTTGAAGCGTTGATGATTAAAGTGTCTACTTACTAAGACCTGGCAAAATTTGTAGGGCATCGAATTAATGAAAGTGATTGCGATGACACGGCTATGACAAGCCCTTACATCCACCGCCACTAGAACAGTTGTAAATTTCACAATTTTAACCATTGTAAAAAGCTGCAAAAAGCAAATCACACCCTTGCGTTCATACTTTGGTGTAAGCATTTCGTCACTTGGAACATGCAATTTTCACTCAATATCTAGGATCCGGAGTTAATCAAAAATTTGAGCAGTTAAAAATGCCTTTATTTAAAGGTCCTGTTAAGGTTTTACACACCACTCATAAGCTCACGAGGCAGTAACAAAGTGAATATACAACCCATTAAGCGAGCCGTCCTGAATGAATGGTGTAAGACTTCAGTCATTCTTAAAATTGTCTATTACAATTATTATTCCTCTGACTGAGGTCAAACATTTTAATTTGGGCTTAGAGACACACGAAAGCATGATAGTGTCCGTTTTAATGGAAGCGTGAAATATGCCCCATTCCGGAGTGGATGTGAACTTTCTTAGTGACATTGTTTTGATAAGATTTCGTTAAATGGAGGAAGCAATAGGCAAACAATGACCCACTCTGTGCAAAACTCAGGCCATAAAACCATGAAACAAATAACTTTTATCAGAGGGAGAAGGTACCATTTAAATCTCACATCCGGCCTCAAAGTGCATAAAATATTTGGAAAAGGAGTGCTCCTAATACCAAGTAAGTATGTAACCGTTGATCGGAAATGGTTAAAAAGCTATTTAAATTAAAAGTGTGAACAAAAAGTTCAAAAGTCTCGATTAAATGGTTTGTTTTAATAAAACAATAAAAGTGTTGCCTATTAGTTGGAGGCATTTAAGAAGTGCTACCTCAATTTCACCAATAAATTGGGTTTTACCGGGGGGAGGTACTTTCAAAAGCAAAATTTCTGCTTATTTGTGCATATGATGTTAATAAGGCTTCGAAGAGAACGCGCCAATGCTTTGGGGAGGCATTGAGCGCAGGTGACCACGATGGTGACAATAACAACACACCTGTTTCATCAGGGTGACAAGTCGTTCCATACCTTGTTGCCAAGTTACCATAGTTGGGTAGCAGCAGCATCAACTAAGAAAGACCTTTTACACCCATGCGCACACACCCGCCTTGAAGTTTTCAGTCACCACAGGAGGGCGGAAAATCCGCTGAGGCCTACCAACACCACATAGGTCGATGTTTATTCTGATATCCAGAACTCAGAGCGGTTAGATTTTTTTTTTTGATATTCAAAGAATATATAGTAAAAAGTTTTAAAAATGTATATTTTTTCTTGAAAATGCTATATTTTGAGCACTGAGAAATGGGGGAGAGAAGAGGCAGAACGATTAAACTGTAGATTACGAAACCAGATTGGTTAGGAGAGTAGTGTTAACTTCTGAGTGTGACAACCCATTTAAATGAAATCTTTTTAATGCTAAAACCAGGGTCAGACAACTTCTTTGTAAGGTAGTCTTATCCGAGTTCGTACCACAAATTGACCGGAATGATGGCAGGTCAACAAATTCACGACGATGGAAACCTTGGAGGCGACAAAGGTGTTGTGATGGTATACTACTGCAACAAAGGTTGTTCACTCGCCAAATCTCCTCTTTAGCACTAACAAAGGCTCCTATGGGTGAAAAAAGCCAAGATGTATGACACGCATGCACGCACGCACTCAAGCACGTACGTATGTACATAGAAGCCTTAAAAAGGGGGCGGTAACGCCTTTTTCGGGAGACGTCGCAAATGTTTTTTACCTTCTACCTTCGGCTGTGCCCCCTATTCTTCATACTCCTTTGCTTTGCCACCTATGCGATACTCCCTCCATCGGCGCCAGAGTCGTCTTCATTGAAAGCCGTGAGCGTTGTGCCGAAACCTTACCTATTGTCGTGCATTTATAGAGTGCGTCAGTGCCTCCCAGCCTGTCTCAATGGAGAACGTCTGTGGCGGCCCTCGATGCCGTGGAAGAAGTGTCACTGCGACTGCCCACCCGGCTTCTATGGATTCGTTTGTCAGTTTTGTACATCTCTCAATTAAAGTTGCTTTTTATCTGCTTCAGTCTTCCTTGTCTATCGAGAAGCTCACAGACAGTTATACATTCTCTGAGTTGCTGATTCTATAAGTTGGATGAAATGTAGCTCACTCATTTAGTTCGAAAATTAACTAGTTTTGCAAGTTTTGAAAATGTATTTAAACAGCCTGGTCTCTGAAGAACTGTAGGGTCCTCTGAGAAGCGCGAATTTTTATTCCAGTTGGCTTAATGTTTTGATCAACAAGATCCAGTAATTCTTGAGTAATCTGTTTTAAGCAACAAAACAGGAACGTAGCTTCTCACTACTATACACTCTGATTTATCTCCCCTATTTGAGGAACTCTCGTGCTCGTCCTAAGGCGAAGCGACTCCTTTCGGCGACGGAGTTTCAAATTGCCGTTCGTAAATGACACCGCGTCTGAGAGGGTTTAGGCGGAAAAGCCGACATTAAATGAAGGGTATGTCATTGAAAACCGTTTGTCACCTATAAAGAGAATAGTAACTCACTGATGAAATCACGCCACCCACACATAGCATCCTGGCACAGACACGCAATGACACTTGCAGCTACTTTCACCGATGAGCCTACTACAAGCTATCATCGTTCATTAAATACTGATTTGTAACTTCTAAACTAATAAGTTAGAATTGGTAATTAGAGTGAAACTAGTAGAACTGGAAACGGTAGCTAGTACCCGAGTCTCAAATCGAACAAAATTAGTCGAATGCCATATCCACCAAACAATCAGTCAAAGCCGGCGAGATATGCGCCGGCACTATCAATGAAATTATACCAATTTGTCAAATCCAAAAGAAGCTATGAATCTCACATAGAAAAATTTGTCGAAAGAGTTCGTACCACCCATCTGCAGGGTTGTATGACATTTGACAGCCATTGGTTAAACGAGAGTATTCTCTTATTCTAATCAATCTTCCAATGGGTTTCTTAGTTAAGTACCATCGACTGAAGTAATTTCCGATTACTAATGAATTTCTCTACTTCTGATTATGTCCTCACTTTCCAGTAAAACTAGCCTGTAATTAAAAGCTCATTTTTAGGGAAATCGCGCCTAGCATTATTGAGAAATTTCTGTGCTTGCCGTATCAATTACCCCGTGACGCACCAAACGCCTTTAAACTCAATGAACTGGAGGTCCACTGGAAATACAATTATTTCAAAGTATTGCAGTAACTGTAAAGGACCAAACCATGGTTTAGTGATGTGGCAACGATGAAAGAGGCGGAAGCGCAGAAATTAGTGAAGACAGTGTAGAGACCTGCTGACTTGGTCGATGTTGCTCATCTCGGCTCGCGTCGCAGCGGAGGACTTGACCGAGGCGCTCACGGCGCAGACAAAGCAGCGCAGCGGAGAGAGCACGCGTCTCTTGGAGTTTTGCGATCTCTATGTTGAAGCGACGTTTTGCTATCACAGCATCATCGCGTTTTTCACTCAAATCCACCCGTTCGTGCACAGAAGCAGACGAAAAAGTATCTCGGCGGGTATGGAAGAGTATTTTTGGATCGTAGTTACCCTCACCTTGTAGCACATCACGCAAGGGCACCCAATCCCGATTTCCTTGCTTCAATTCTTCGTCATCGCAAAGCCGACGTTCTGAGATGCCGCAGGACTGAGGGTATGAGAGGTGGGCCATGCCACCGATGTCAAGGTCGAGTGCCGAAACTCATGCTTTTTCCTGCGTGTCTATGATGGCTTATCGATCGAGGGTTAGATGAGCCCCACGTGGGTCAAATGGTCCATTTTCCAAAAGCTGTTGAATCCTTTCTCATACAACACACAACTTGCCTGGGAAGCAATGTTTGAGGTCTTGGCGAAATTTTCTGTAGTCAAAGAAGACACATAAGAGATAGTCATATTTTTCCCACTTGTGCGAGATAGCCCAGTCGTTCCAAGGAGCTCTCGACTTCATTTTATGGTAGTAATATGTGCTTTTCCAAGGTGTTTGCTTTTACCTTTTCTTTGAGCCTCAAGTTAAACTTGTTCATTCTTCAATAAAACGCCAAATATGATACCTCAGGATTCTTACAACAGGGAATGCAGAGGGTCCCGTCCAGTAGATTCGAGCCCTTCTCAAACACATTAGGCCTGGATTTTTATTTGGTGCTGTCTCCGTTACTGAGCGGTACCTAGAAGGCCACCATTACTTCCGCTTTTGAGGTGATGTGTTCTGTGCCTCGCGGATATCTCGGTTACTGCTGCGTTTCCATTGCCTAACCACGATATAAGCAGCGAATGGGAAAAAAATTTCTTGCAGTCGACTTCTTGTATAACCCTCGTTGTGTGTTTCACTCAGTGAGATTAAGTTTCGAGGCTTGACATCTGCTGTCAAACACACGGGCAATGATTAGCATTTCAAGGTTGAAAGTAGTGAGTTTTCCCCTGACCTCACGACATTGAAAATGTTGACACTGTAAATTTGTTTGCAGATTCCATTGAAATGGGTCTACTCTTCAACAGTTAATTTAAAGGAATTAAAAATAAGAAAATTTGATTTTACTTGCAGTCGGTTTAGTACTGACGGAACTTTCCGTCTGATGGCCATACAAGGCTTAACTGAAGTGACGTATTCAAGTGAGGCGAACACATTGCCTGTTTCTTTTCATCAAAGAATAAATTGTATCTAAAAGAATGATTTAAAGCAAAAGTAAGGTCTGCAGAAAGTAATCAAGTTCACCAAAATAGTAGTAACCTAGGCTTCTATTTAAATGAGACGTAATTTATTTTTGTGTAGGAAAAATCTCTCCCTTACTGAGATTTTACTGTTCAGGGTTTTAACAGATAAAGCGGAAATGTTGAATAAACTAGCAAAAATCTATCAAGGAGAATACGGCTAACCGTACCGCAACAAATTTTTGACCTAGCATGCATACAGTTGCTTCGACAATTCATTGGTAGTTGATTTTCAAGGGGAGGGGAAGGAAGGGTGGGCTGATGGAGGGATGGAAGTGTTCATCGAGGTAGGTTGCAGAGGCAAAGCCGGTGATACACGGGTGGAAATATGTTAACCTGATGGTAGCACTCTATTCGTACCATCAAGGGCTGCCATGGGGAAGAAAGCACTAGTGCACGTCACAGACTCACAAAAGCAGGCACCGATTCCACCCCATCAAGCTCTCGACCACTTCCATTGTTGATGGCGTCAGTAATGATAGGGGAGGCATTCCGCAGGTAATGGATGCCAGTAATCGGAGAAAATGAGGGAGAAACTAGTTAAAACTACCACTTTTTAATGGCTTCAGATAACTAACGGCTTAGCAGATGATGACTGAATTGATTTTTTTGTGAAAGATTTTATTTCCACGCAATCGACAGACAGTTGCACCTTAAACCTTTGACACTGACAGATTGGTGGGTGAAGAGGGCTACTCGTCTTACTTCTTTAATTAGCTCTCCATTACACAAACTGCCGAATTGCAAACCCCTCATCTACTTTTAGCTAAGGCATGATCTGCTGCTAGCACTGCATTGAAATAGGGACGGTTGACGATTTGGCGCGTTTTTAATCTCCCATAGACGTGTTTAAGTAGTATTATTAAAGGGTTGTAACATTTCCTTGGATAATTCCATCAAAGGAAGCTATTGGCAGCTTAAAGGCGACTTGCCCTTATTCTTCACCTCACCTATAATAATGGCCCAGCAGCATAGGTGAGAAAAATTAACTCTGAAGGGTAAAATGATGAAGTGCATACCATCTAGAAGGAAACAATGGATTCTCGAACGGAGAGAGAGAGCATCCTACACGAAGTCTACGTCTCTTCCAGTGTAAGATTTGGAATCAATTCAAGGTCGAGGTCGCAATCGTGTATTTATGCCTTAGATGATCATAAAAAGGACAACATTTTTGCTTAGTAATTTAGGCAGTACTAAGTGGTGAGGCAAAAATACATGGTCATTAAATACTATCTTCATATGCAATTTTATCTTAGGAAATAAAACTATTTTGCGTATGCTACTCATTAGTTAAGTAGTTGATCTAAAAGGTTTGAAAATAATTTTGCTTGAAAAGTATACGAAATAAAACTCTTTATCACGACTTCAGAAATTATTAGGCATTAATTTCTTGTAATTGTGGAAAGTTCTCTTTTTCATTTCCGTTAGTGTCTGCGAATTGAGTCCCACGTACTTCCAAGTCTAAGAAGTGTTATAGCCAATCGGCAGAGGTGAAAGTCTGAATAAAAGCTAACGAATTATCAAACCATAGACATTTGTAACATTGAGGTAAGTTGGGTGGGTCCATTTTTACTGAAGGCATCAAAGCACCGGAGACCGATCCTGTTCGATTCACTAGGAGTTCGGGTTTTATGTCTAATCACCGAACATTCTAGGGAGTTGCATCTTCTCTCGAAGGCCAACGCCAACCATTTGTCATAACTACGCGTGATTGAGAGCATATCCTCATGCTCAATCTTGGCCTCTCCTGACTATCTATCCGTCAGGGAGGTACACGCTCGCTGCACTCATTTTCGTCAACTCGTTGCGTCAGTTAATAAAGTCAGTTCTTATTCCTTGAATGCCCGCTTAAATGTTTGATAAGTTCTAAGCCATATGGATGCAAAAACCTAAGTTTACAGCTGAAAGCTCATTTACAAGGAAGAAGACAATAAACTTACATGCTCGATAACCTAGTTTCACGTTCCAAAGGCGGCCTTTACCGTGGCCCAGGTTGGAGGGATGTTACTCCAACGTCCTACTTGTACCATACTTCTTGCACAAGTCAAGTAACTTCATTCCAGAGGACGTACATTGGACGAGACCTGCATCTACTTCAGCGATTGTTAGTAGATGTAACTTCTCCTGCACCTAAATGTTTTGGAGTATAGTCGAAACCGAATGGATCGTTAAAACTGAGGGTGGTGATACTTAATATAAAAGCGGAAAATTGCTACATTTTGTTAAAATTTCTTTAACTCATTTCAGTAAAAAGAGGAAATAGGCTTGCTTAATGATCTGGTATTTAAATGTAGCACCTTTTTCCATGAATGAGGCAAAATACCGTCTTCCCTAATCGGACGAAATTAGCCTTCTTTGGACCTCAATTTCTCCATTTGTGTGAATATTTTCCGCACTATTGTTCCTGTTTTGATGCTCTTTATGAACAAGTCAAGCCATCTCAGGCCTAAAAATGTGCATGAGGCAGGCTGTACCCTCACTGATTCGATTGTCACTCAAATTAACATCTCGCATATTTGAAATTTTCTCGAATAAGTATCGTTGAGCTGACGCCCTACCACCTTAATGTGAATACGTTCGCTTAGGGTGGTTTTCAATGCCATAACTTCATTAGGGTAGTTGGGGGGCTGTTTTTAGGGTGTGGCAACTTTGCCAACGTTAATGGGGAAAATTAACTCTCCATCAGAAATGAGCGAATTCTTATTCTGGTTTGAATTCTCCACCAACAACAATTGTGCACTTCAGTCCTCGCAAATTGTGCTTCCATACTGCACCATAACCCTGGAACTGTACTGACTCTGGACGTTGGCAAAATATATGCCCTTCTAGAGTACTCTGACTTGTTGCAACACTAGAGAAGACTCATAGTACTGCACTACTCACGATTTTGGCGTTTAGTAGACGCCTTTAGACCTTTTTTGTCGTGGAAGTAGTTGAAAGGAACGCTGATTTGTGGATTGTAAAGTCAAATGGAATCAGCCGATTTCTGCGATTTGAAACACTCTTCAAAGTAAGCATTATTTGAATACGTAGTTACCTTCCAATTTGAGTACTTTTGACTAGTTAACAAGCTGTGGAATTTATTTGAATCCGCGTCAATCATTATTTCTTAAAAAGGTTTATCCCCTCAAAGTGGTAAAAAAGGCTATTTTTAGCTTTTTAACATTGAAAATTTGAATCTACCTACAACTTGATTTTGCAACATAAAAACTCCTGACAAATGAATGCATTTTGTTTCCTTTTAATGAAACACGGTGAGTGAGGAATGCAATTTAGTGAGTGGATAATTGTTTAGATTCCTTTTTTAATGCACACACCGGGCAGTCATCCTGGTTGGAAGTTCCATCTTGGCGGCATGATATGTTGATCACGCACATAGCCCCTGAACCGTTTTATGCGGCTATAATGAATCTTCTTCCCCATTAATGTGGCTTATTACGATCTCAATAAAGTCAGACGCACATTTGTTAAGCTCCTTTCAAAGCAGGGGGAAGTTAGTGCATGTAAAGTCTCTTTTTTCGAGTAGAAACATTGTAGGATAACCTATAACTTCGGTATGTACAAAGAATTTGTGGGGGAAAATAAGACAACTTCTCATCCTCAAACATGAATAGCTAGGCTTATGGTAGTTAATACTACTGCCAAAAATCCATCATGGGGGATCTAGTACATCTTTATGGACCCGTTCCACCACCCTTTGCCATCCTCAAAGCACAGAGGTGTTTTGGGTGCCGAAAGGCATCTCACGGATCACTTAATTTGTTTGCTGTATCCAATTATGTGCACGACCGATCGTGGTCCATCATAACAGAGGGTGACCTGAAGAAGATGGGGAAGAATACCTACCAGAGGGCTTATTGAAGCACTTGAAACGGTGTACTTGACAGCACTTTCTACCCAAGTAGACTCTGAGCTAGACGAGCTCGGCGATTCATACAGCGTCGTGACTCTCCGAGGCGAACG